GCCTTGCATGCCTGAGGCCCTGGGTTCGATTCCTCAGCACCACATAAGCAAAAAGAAAAATACCGGAAGTGGCGCTGTGGCTCAAGTGGTAGAGCACTAGCCTTGAGCTGAAGAGCTGAGGGATAGCGCCCAGGCCCAGAGTTCAGGCCCCACTACCGGACCAAAAAAAAAAAATAACAATGATGCCCATGTAATTGTAACTCCTCTGTACAGTATTCTCACAATAATAAATAAATAAATAAATATGCAAAGTACATGGTGTAAGCTAAAAAAAATAACAATGATGTTGAAGTACAGATGAGTCAATTAACTTGTCAAAGTGACACGAAAAGCTGGGTGCTGATAGCTCACACCTATTGGCCTAAGCTACTAAGGAGACTGAAATCTGAGGTTCACAGTTCAAAGCCAGCACAGGCAACAAAGTCCATGAGACTCTTATCTCAAGTTCATTATGGAACTGTGGCTCCATGGGAAAAACCACTAGCATTGAGCACAAAAGTTCAGGGAAAAGTGCCCAGGCCCTGAGTTCAAGCCCCATGACTGGCACAAAAAAAAAGTTACATGAATACATCAGAGTTGAGATTCAAATTCAGAACTGGCTGATTACCAGGACTGTAATTTATTTCTTGTCCAGTACTGGGGCTTGAACTCAGGGCCTGGGCACTGTCCCTTAGCTTCTTTTGCCCAAGGCTAGCAGTATACCACATAAGCCACAGCACCACTTCTGGCTTTTTCTATTTATGTGTTACTGAGGAATTGAACCCAGGGCAATATGCATGCTTGGCAAGCACTCTACCATTCCCAACCCCTTAAGACTGTAATTTTTTGTTGTAACAACTTTTATCTTTTTAGAAAATGTTCTTTAAAAATTATTTTCTAAAGCTAAGCATGAGTGGTTATGTCTATAATCCTAGCTACTCAGGAGGCTGAGCTCTGGAGGACCACGGTTTGATGCAAGTCAGGGCAGAAAAGCATGTGAGGCTCCATCTCTAAAATACCAACAAAAAGCAGAGCTGGAGGTGTGGTTCAAGCTTACAGTGACAGCCTAGCAAAGTCTGAGACACTAAATTCAATCTCTGTACCATAAAAATAATGACTAGCCAGGCGCCAGTGGCTCATGCCTGTAATCCTAGCTACTCAGGAGGCTGAGATCTGAGGATCATGGTTCAAAGCCAGCCAGGGCAGGAAAGTTCGTGAGACTCTTATCTCCAAAAAACCACTAGAAAACCAGAAGTGTTGGGCTAGGAAGGTGGTAGAGCACTTGCCTTGCATGCATGAGGCCCTGGGTTCGATTCCTCAACACCACATAAGCAAAAAAGAAAAGAAAAGAAAAAGAAAAAAAGCCGGAAGTGGCGCTGTGGGTAAAGTGGTAGAGCCCTAGCCTTGAGCTGAAGAGCTGAGGGACAGTGCCCAGGCCCAGAGTTCAGGCCCCACGACTGGACCCCCCCCCCGAAAAAAAAGAAAACCAGAAGTGGTGCTGTGGCTCAAGCAGTAGAGCACTTGCTTTGAGCTGAAGAGCTCAGAGACAGCACCCAAGCCCAGAGTTCAAGCCCCACAACCAACAAAAAAATAGTAATAATAATTTTAAGCCACTTGGTGGCAGACACCTGTAATCCCAGCACTCTGGAAACTGAAGTAGGAAGATACTGAGTATGAAGCCATCCTGGGACATAGTGAATGTCAAGTCACCGTCGACTACAGTGTGAGAAATTTATTTTAAAGGATGAGATCTAAGGATTGTGTATCAAAGCCAACCTGGGCAGTAAAGTCAATGAGACTCTTCAATTAAGCACCAAAAAAAAAAAAAAAAAAAAAAGCTGGAAATTGAGGAGGAAACTGAAAGAACGTGAAGGAAGGGGTGACATTTCCCAAATAATATATACTCATTACTTGACTTATGAAATAATAACCCCTCAAAGGGTAGAACACTAGCCTTGAGCTGAAGAGCTGAGGGATGGCGCCCAGGCCCAGAGTTCAGGCCCCACGACCAGAACCCCCCCCCCCAATTTTTTTTCACTTTAATAGCATTTGCATTTTCTATAATGAGTATATATATTTACTTAAAATAATTTCTTTGTGTGTATGCCAATGGTAAGGCTTAGGGCTTGGGCACTGTCACTGAAACTTTTGTGCTCAAGGCTGGTGATCTCCCACTTGAGCCACAGCGCCACTTCCAGCTTTTTTCTTTTTGCTTATGTGGTGCTGAGGAATCGAACCCAGGGCCTCAGGCATGCAAGGCAAGCACT